CTGAGACCATAATGGCCTTCCCACCGGCCTCCCAGTGCCTGCCTGTGAGCACCTCAAGGGGCGGCCCAGGGCCTCCAAGTCCAGGGAAACTGACACACCTCAGTGCCAGGATGAGAGGGGTCTAGGGCCAGAAGCAAGGTGCCGTGGTGAAGAGGGGACTTGGACAAGTGAGAAAAGCCCTGTGCCTACCAAAAAAAAGGGCTTGAGGGTCAGAGCCGTGAGGTCAGGAAGGTGAGGACCTGGGACTGTCCTGCTCACATCAAGTGTGTGGGGACAGGGAGCTGAGGGGACAGGGAGGCAGGTAAGGGCAGCATGGGCCTGCCCTTTTCCAGATCACCACCCCATATGTCCTCACTGGAATGCCCAAGTCTGCTGTGAGCCTCGAGAGACTGGCAGCAACATAGAGAGGTGTGATAGCTCAGAGCACCAGTTCTAAGAACTTAGACTCATCCAGCCTCACTTCCCTGGCCGGCAGGCCCTGCNCATCCCGACCACAGGTCCTTGTGTGCCCATTGAGCTGATGCAGTCTCCCCAGCTCCCAGCTGCCAAAAGCTTCCATCAAACCCATTCTACCTTCCTAAGTGTCCTCACCAAGATCAGGTCAGCCTCAGTCACTGCAGAACAGCCAACAGCTGGACACGCTGGGCACATAGCCGGAGCTCACAGTCCTGGTGAGCGCCACTCAGGGACACCCATGGTGGGCCCAATGTGGGGGCCAGCACGGAGCTCAGGCTGGGAGAGGTTTGCTGAGTAAAGCTGCCTTGCAGTCAGTAAGAGAGTGCTCACAGAAGCCTCTGCACCACTCGTCTGAATCCCCCCAAAACACAGACACACACACATACACACATTCGTGCACATACAGAGCCTCCTTAGGGTCCAGCTAGGCAGCAGATGTGGGGGCAGGGGCCACACTTGGCCTCACAGCGGTGCCACACACACGGGGCACTTAATCATGCTTCCTGGTCCGGGGGCCCCTCCACCAGCCCCTCTAGGAGTGGCCACCCAGGAAGGGGGTTTTCCCAACCCTGCCTCCTGTAGGTGCTCAGAGATCTGCCTCCCCAGCTGTCACCCTTCCCAACTCTCAGGGAAAATGCCTCCTCCCCACGACACTCCTGTCTTAGCTAGGGTGACTTTACTTCCTCCCCCCTGCCTCCTCAAGCCTCAGAGGCTGGAAGCACACCTGTCCCTGCCAGGCACACAGTTGGTGCTCAGCGTGAACAACATAAGCCCTCAGAGCATGAGGTGACGGTGGGCTCCAGAAGCACAGGAACACACGTCCTGTAACCCCTTCTTTCCTTAGTCAGAGAAAGTCTGGGCAGTGCCATGAGCATCAGCCACAGAGCCTAGGCCCTCCGAGCCCCACTGGCCCCTCCGCTTCCACATCCCATAATTCCACTGAGACCATAATGGCCTTCCCACCGGCCTCCCAGTGCCTGCCTGTGAGCACCTCAAGGGGCGGCCCAGGGCCTCCAAGTCCAGGGAAACTGACACACCTCAGTGCCAGGATGAGAGGGGTCTAGGGCCAGAAGCAAGGTGCCGTGGTGAAGAGGGGACTTGGACAAGTGAGAAAAGCCCTGTGCCTACCAAAAAAAAGGGCTTGAGGGTCAGAGCCGTGAGGTCAGGAAGGTGAGGACCTGGGACTGTCCTGCTCACATCAAGTGTGTGGGGACAGGGAGCTGAGGGGACAGGGAGGCAGGTAAGGGCAGCATGGGCCTGCCCTTTTCCAGATCACCACCCCATATGTCCTCACTGGAATGCCCAAGTCTGCTGTGAGCCTCGAGAGACTGGCAGCAACATAGAGAGGTGTGATAGCTCAGAGCACCAGTTCTAAGAACTTAGACTCATCCAGCCTCACTTCCCTGGCCGGCAGGCCCTGCCAAGCACATGAACTTGACAGTCGGGATGGACTCACCCAGCTTTGCCCTCTGCAGTTGCATCACCTTGGCCTGCCCTTTGCCTTCTCCAAGTACTAAGCCAAGAGGCACTGGGCGCCTGGACCTTGGGAGAAACCTCCTGGAGATGCCCACCACCCTGAGCCCAAGCATCCCCTTGACCATCTTTTAGTCCCTAAACACCCTGGCTGGGCAGAAGCTGGCCTCCCTCTCACAGGGGACCTCAGCAGGGCCTCCTTCCCAGCTGCCAGCATCCCTGGAGGGCCTGTGCTCAGCCTGGGTGCTGCGACACAGCAGATCCGACACAGGCAAGCACCTAGTCAGGAACCCCAGGGAGCCCGGGCAAAACATAACCCAGCCACACAGGCTACAACACAGATCCCACCCACCTTCCACTATAAATAAACCTGTGTAGGAGAAACAGCACTCGCCCTAAAACTTCCAGCACAATTATATTTTCAAACAGCAAAGTAAATCAATAAAGATAGGGGCTGTCCTTGGAAGCTCTTTCACCTTGGACTGGAGTTTCCCTAAAGGCAAAAACAATACGCATGTTCACGTGTGGTAGGGGCCATCCACTCGGGGGTTCCAGAAAGGTTCAGGGCTTAAGGAAGGCCCTTCCTGAATTCCACCGGCCAATGGCATCCCAGCTGGGGGACAACAGCTAGGACTCTGCTAGGCTCCTGGGAGAGGAGTTGGTTTACGCAGCGGAGGTTCCCAGAGCAAACCCCGTTACCCTATTCCCCCCCACCCCCAGCCGAGTTTACCCTCTGCAGCAGGGGAGGCTCAGGGGAAGGGCGGCGAGTACCCTGACAAGACAGCTGCCTACACAGAGGGAGGCTGAGACTTGGAAGCACCCTGCAGCTACAGGACACTCCATGGTCCCTGGAAAACCTGGCTTTACAAACAGCTCCCATGCCCCAGGCCTCCCACAAGGACACCCCCCCCCTCTCAGGAATCTGAAGCCTGTGCAGAGGCCCCACGGGCTTCCCTGAGGGAGCTGATCCCCACCTGTCTGGGCACGCCAGCTTATTTTAGGTTCTCCTGTGACCCACACCCCCCCAAGCCAGGACCTGGCATTTGCTGGAGGTCAGCAGCCGTTCCCACACGGGGTGGGGGCCCTGATGAGCCCACTGTAACTGACAGATATGGGGTTTCTACGGGACCTGGAGTAAAACTATCTAGGACCTGGACTCCTTGACCACCTGCCAGTGAGAGGGGACAGCTCTCATCCCTAGGTGACAACCCTCAGCACCTTCTTGCTCCTGGGGCCACAGGGCATCCTTCTCCTCAGGTCACGAAAGAGCCCAGGAACAAGGGCATAGCACATGGTCCTGCCAGCCCCATCCCCCACCTCCTCTGAGTCCCACCTCACCTGGGGTAAGGCATCTCTCCGCCTCCCCTCCACTCCACTGAGTAACACAAACAACCCTGTTAGACATCCTCAGGGACACAGCCGGGCCTGGAACATCCAGAACACCAGGGCCAGGCTCGAAGACTCCCTCAGCTGCAAGGTGACAGAGCAGCCAGACCCAGGGGCTGTCAGGAGAGAGAAAGTGCAGGCCCTGCAGTGTTCTTTCCCTATCTGGTCTCTGTGCTTGGAAATGACTGACAAGAGGGCCAGCGTCCTGTCCCATTGGTCCCAGGGCCTTTAGGCACCCCCAACATGGTCCAACACCACACCAAGTCAAGCCACCTTCCTGCTGAAAGGTTGTGACCCAGCCAACTCCAGGCTGGGTTCTAGAGAGAAAACACACCTCCAGTGACCCTGCAAGGTTAGGCTGGCTGCTGCTCAGAGGCCAGCTCCAACACCCTCGGATGCCCACCCATGGCTACGACGACGAAGCCAGGCACTGAAGCCTGATGCCATGCTCGGGGAGGGCCCTCTGGCCATAGCCAAGGCCCACCATCCTGGACCACGATGACCTCCTTCACAACCAGAAGGTAATTCTGACTCAGCCGATGTTTGGACTTGAGAAAAGAGAAACACGGGTTTTATTCCTTTTTTTGGTACAGATTCCTCTTTGTATTTAATATTTATACAGTTAAACACACAAGGTAGGAAAAATATATACACACATTGCTCATTTTGCCTTTGTCTGTCTCCTCAACTCTGACAGGGAAAGTTTATGTCCAGGGTCCCGCTTCTGTCAACCTCCTCTCCTCAGCTGCCCCCCTCCTATCCAGCAGCCTGTCCAGGACATCCAGTCCTTCCAAGTTCAAGGGTAGGACGGCTAGGCACCTATAGCCTGGTCACCTGGCAGTCAGCTTGGAGGGGAAGCTAGTGGTGAGAAGCAGCCGGGAGGCAGGGTGAACCAAAACTGACAGTCCCCAAAATCCACCTACTGGGGGGCAGCAGACCTGCTGCCTGCATCCCAGAAATGCCTCCTGGCAGGATTCAGCTCTGCTCTGGAACCTTCTCCAAAGTCTGTGCTGCTCTGGCCAGGAACAGAAAGGGTGGTCCCTTTCTCTCCAGCAAGAAGGGGCTCCAGGGTGCAGTGCCATCTGCCTCCCTGCCCCCAACCCCCAGCTGCGCATGACTTAAATCGGCCCCAGCACTGAGTTCAGCCTGAAAAGGCGAGTTCACAACCAACGTCACCGCCTCTCTCCATGGAAAAGGACCAGAGAACGGGCACCGTTCCCTGGCCCCCATGGGTCTCCTGCAGCGCTCGAAAGCACAGGCACAGGTTGAAAACTTTGCCAGCCTCACTCTAGTTCCCTTCGGCCTTTCCCGCCCCGGCGAGGGTCCTGCCTCAGAGCATTCTGCAAGCCTAGGAAGAATTCTTCTGAACGCAACCCACGGGTGTCACGGGTGTCACGGGTGTCCCGACCTCCCTTCCCTGACGACTCCTCTCCCCTCCAAGCCTGCGGTAGCTTCGCCGCTACTCTTTCACTCTCTGCCATCCTGAGTACCTCTGAACCGGGCACACCCCATTCGGGTCGGGAGAGACGCCCAGCTGTCCCAGAAAAGCGCGCCCCTGCCCTACGCCACCCCCGCCCCCGCAAGCCCGGTCCGAATCGGGTCCAACGAATCGGGGCGCGCGAGGTCGCACGCGGAGAGAGTCCAGCGCCCCGGATCCCCGAAACCCGGCGGCCAGGGAAGGATATGGGTTACAGACCAGCCGGAGACACCAGCTGCGCGGCCGCGTGGTCTGCCCAAGGCAGAAGAAGACGGTGGCCGCCAGCGCCGGGTACGGGACCGGCTGCTCCTCGTCGGCGCCCAGCTCCGCGTTGCGCTCAATCGCCGGACTCTCGGGAGGCGACGCGCTGGGTCCGGACTCCCGATCCACCTCTCGCCCCAGCGCCCCAGGGCTCGCCGGGGACACCCCCGCTGCCACCGCAGGGCCGGGAGCCGGCGCGCCCAG